GGTGTGATTTTCTGCCGATATCGTGCTAGGGTTTCGTGGTTGTTACCAGCTGCAGTCACAGGCTTTTGTAGATAAGAAAGTAGTCACTTCCAACGCTACAGAGGAATCGCACTCTTCTCAGCTGTTAATATGTAAAACGAAACAAATGGTTGAAGAGAGGAAGGAAAACAGGTGAGCAGCGCTATATAGCAAACAAGGCAGTCATTATTTGTCGTGTACACCTATTCAAACTTTCCTTTTGATTCAAAACTCTTTTTAGACTATGTAAAGCAAAAGAACTCCATTATGAAGGAGAACTGTACCAAGAATTTGAGCCAAGTTGAAAGTTTGGACACTTTGTAGAAAGATTTCGGGATGAATCTCCGGAACAACTGACGGAAAAAAAATTGTATTTCAGCTTCAAACTGTTTATAAATATTATTTTCATGTCAATATATTCATACTCCAAACGCTAAAAACAGTGCACGTTTCAAATTCAGTAAGTCGACTACGGAGGAGGACTAGTCAACAAATGGGGCAATATGCACGTCGACTGACCCGGACCAGGGATGAATATCCAAACCATATCAATGTATTTTTATGGGCACTCAAATCGTTGTGGCCATTGAGATGAAGGAGGCGAGACGTCAATCAGATCAAGGTCTGTGAAAAGCTAGTTGGAAGTTGCCCAATTAGAAAACAGAAGAAAAAGCACAGAAAGACTAGGCATCAAAAAACAACGTGTGTATTAAAAACGAATACCTTGAAACCTTCGAAGTCGCTTTGAAGCGTAGAAGTTGAAGTATTCGATAAATTAGCTCTCAAAAAAGAGAAGCTATGTCTACCAGTGGCAACAACGAAGAACGCCACATTGACATAGTTGGTCTAAAATTTATCTAACATTTCACTTTCTGGTGAAACAACTACATGTGAAGTGCTGTGCAAAAACGTTTGCGCCAGCCGGGATTCGAACCCAGATCTCACTCTTTCCGCGTTATAGCGTAAATAAGAGTGCTGTGCAAAGCAAGCGTCGGTAGTGCAACGGTTAGCATACGCTCCCGGAAAGAATGAGGTCTGGGTTCGAATCCCGCTTCACGCAAACGCTTTTGCACAGCACTCCACATATTGGGTATACTATGAACATCATACCACTGCAAGTGGCAGTCAAAATAGAAAGAATTTAAACTACATGTGAATGTCTTGTCGACGAGACTTATAGTTTGAAACGATGTCATTTTTTCACTGACATTTAAGTTTTATTAAGTACATCAGTACTTTCAAAAAAATCAAGATGTTATTTGTGCTCAAACTCTTCGATCTTTTATGCAAAATTCAGTGAATTCGTGGTGCAGGCATAGTAACCATATATCTCATCCCTGACAATTGGAATTTTACGATTATTTCCACGTGATTAGTTTTGGAGATAGAAATTATTTATGATAAATAGTCTTGCTGAGCTTATTATGACATAAAACAAACTCTATGGTTGATTATAAAAGATTTTGATAATACTATTCACATTGAAATATTCTGAACTTACTAATAAAATCACCAGCAAGTGCGAATGTATTGCAACACAGGCCATAGCTACAAGCTCATCATAATGAACCACCCCCAAACTTTGTTTTCATCTAGCAATAAATATCAGTATGACTGTCTCATTTTATCGAATAATGCTAACCTATAAAAGCTGCAATACGGCTACAACTCGTATCACACATTAAATAGGTTTGACCAATGGAATAGATTATTTTGAGGTTATGCTAGATGCTAGCTGTTTTACATTCATTGGAACAATTTATGCTTACATTTAGATTCACTGCAAAATCTTTCACAGTTTTAACATGCACTTGTTTTTATTTTGACCTCAACTGATAGTAGAAATCAAGATAGCGTCGTTGACTTTCTCATCTTTGAGGTCGTATTCTCCTCAAATATTCTCAAAGCACATCGCTCTGTGCATCCGTCGAAACTGCCGTAGCGCCATACCTCAATGATATTTTAAGCGATTTAAGCTGCGAAAGTCTAAATGCGAACGCCAGAAATCAGTCTGCTCAAATGTGTTTCGAAATTGTAACTCTTAACATCAAAATTCTCCAAAAACATGAAATATGTCGAAATTCTATTACATGAAGCAAAAAAGCGCAGAATGTTATATGAAAATACATAATCGCCACAATGTTAGAACTGTCTGTTGAACATGAACGAAAAAAAAATTGTTCAACATTGTTTTCCACATGACCATATATTGTTCATCCTAATGATTGATTTTTAAAAACGTTTACTTCTAGATTTTGCAATCATTTCTGTCCATCTCAAGAATTTGTTCTGCAAGAGCTTCATTTGTAAGTTTGCCAGCAATCAATGTTTTCAAATGCACTCCATTCATCGCCAAAAAGGAAGACACCTTTGAAATTACCTTTCATAATAAATGAGGTAAGTGCTGCTATCAAAAGGTGTCTAAAAAAATAGTGGCCTGGTAGTTCTGTGAAAATTGCAGATATTTCACTCAATACGCTACGTCGTAGATTGGTTCGGATAAGTAAAAACACAGTGATGCATAGTATAGATACTTGAACAAGAATCGAAAGCGTCCGCACGAAAACCCTTAAGGTTTTTTGGATAAACCGCAGAATTCCAAGAATGAATAGAAGGGGAGAATACCTGAGCATGACAAATGATTTGACGGCTTATTTCGAATTGTTTTCTATTCTGAGTATGCTTTATTTCTCACAACGTGTCACATAAGACCGATGACCTCTTCCATAGCACCTGTATCACCTGTCGTCCCGTTGATCGTCGAGTGACTCGAGCAGGTACCAGCAACTCTTCCATTTTTCCCTATCGCGTGCAAGAGTAGCCCAGTGGGTCCTCCTCGCTCTAGGGATTCGCTGAGCATCATATCTTTCTTCCATCGCTTTCGTGAAGAAATCGGACCAACGGGTCAGTGGTCTTCCTTTAGAGCGCTTGACGTCTCAGAGGAATCCAGTCGGTAACGGCTCTCGTCCATCGGTTGTCGTTGAAGCGCATCAGTTGTCCGGCCCACCTTATTTTCGATATCCTGGCGTGTAGAACGGCGTCTCTGATTTTCGATCGTTGAAGTAGGTCGGAACTTCGGATCCTTTCTCTCATTTGCGAAATACGGGATACTCCTAGCATCGACCTTTCGACTGCGCGTTCGATAACTCCAAGTGATCTTTCATCCTGCTTACATAGCGACTAGGTTTCTGCTGCATACGTTAGGGCAGGGATAATTGTCGAGTCGAAAAGGTGGGCACGGAGTCGGATGTTCTTTGTCCTCTTCACTACATCTTCGATGCTCTTAAACGTTCCCCAAGCCGCTCGTTTCCTCCTGCTCAACTCTGGGCTAGATCGTTCATCATGTTGATTCCACGACCTAGATAGATGTAACTGGAGCATTCGGAGATTGTCGTTCCGTTGAGCGTGAATGGGGCATTAGAAACCCATCCGTTCCTCATGAACATTGTTTTCGTTAGATTCAGTTGAAGACCGATCTTTCCACAGGCGTTATCGAAATCAGTCAACATTCGTTCCGCTTGGCTGATGTTTGGTGTTATGAGAACGATATCGTCAGCAAAGCGAAGATGGTTTAATTGTCGACCGTCAATTTTCACTCCCATTTCGTCCCATTCTAATGCTCGCATGACGTTTTGTAGGGTGGCAGTGAATAGTTTTGGCGAAATTGTATCGCCTTGTTGAACCCCTCGTCTCACGTCAGTGGTGATATTGTTGTAGAATGGAGAATTTTGATCGTAAAATCTTTATAAAGCTTACGAAGGATCATTATGTACCGAGTAGGGATGCCCTGGTTATCCAGAGCCTCTATAACCGCTTCTGTTTCCACTGAATCAAAGGCTTTTTTCAGATCGATAAAAGTGAGACAGAGTGGTTGTTTGTACTCTCGCGAAAACTTCAATGAGTCTTGTGATCGTGTGGATGTGGTCTATGGTACTAAATCCTTTTCGGAACCCTGCTTGTTCGCATGGCTGTCCTTCGTCCAGTGTTCTGTCAATCCTGTTTAGGATGACTCGAGTAAAGAGTTTATAGACAACGGACAGCAAGCAGATTGGACGATAATTGCCTATGTCGTGAAGGTCTCCTTTTTGAACAACAATACGGTCTTGCTGGTTTTCATTGAATAGAGACCTTACATTCTGACAGGTAGCGAGTGAAGAGCCGAGCCAGGGTGTTGATGAGAACTGGCGGCAGGCTCTTCCATATAAGTATTAAAAAGGTGGGTATTTTGATAACCACACTGCTGAATTGTTTTGTATTAGATTCCTGATGCATACGAAATATCAACCAAATAGTCAGATAAAGTATGATATAGTACGTCTAGGCTTTGACGAAGACGGGACCGCCGAAACGTTGGCTATCAAATTCTGAGAAAGAAGAGGTACCAACCTCGTGCAAGTTCTCTTCAAAGAAAAAGACAGTTCGTAAGAAATTGTGCATTTCTTTGTCCATATCGAAGTTTAGAGAGAGTCGGCTTCTGAGAAAAATTTATTTGTACGCAACTGACCTGAACCAAAAGACAACTGAATAGAATTCTTGTTGTATATATACCCAATGATGTTAAGTGATGTACAAAACTTTGACGTCAGAAAGGACTCAATTCCTCATTTCACCCTATACAAGGGCGCGGGCTAACCACTGCACTACGGACACCTGCTTTTCCACCACTCTTTCTATGCTATAATGTTGCAATCTGTCAGCATCCAACCGTCAGCGGTTTAGTCTGGGTAGGTTTTGATTTAACTCTAACTTTGACATGGCACGTAAGAGTTATGCACATCACTCAATATCACTGACTATATTATAGCATCATACCGCCGCTGAAAAGCGGTTACAATAAAAAAAAATTGTGTTTGATCATCTAATATTCAATATCTGTCAGCGTGACTGAGTTCAATGTTGATATTGACTACCAGGCCAAACCACTGACGGCTAATTGCCGATGAACTGATGCGTGGTAGTGTAGAAAGATCGGTGGCAAAATAGGCGTTGATAGTGCAATTGGTTGAGCACGCGTCTCTGGAAAAGATGAAATGCGGGTTCGTCCCGTTCGCCTCAACATCACTGGGCAAGTTAATTGTCGAAGTAGTTTCCTTTCACGTCAAGACATTTCAGCCCCCTATCAGGCAACATAAATTCCGCAGTGCTAAAACTCACGATCTTGCCAACGCCCGGCAACTCATGCATGTATCTTCTTCAGTTCGATTAACAACCGATTAGAGATCGAATTCTCCTGGACGTTCCTCCTTAAACTTGTCGCTCAATCGATCTCCTTCTTCTCAGATTGTCTTAAACCAATGCTGAGCTGGGCGAGCATCGCAAACTCTGTAATCATACGCTTTGCAGATCTGTCGATGAGCCTCAGAACCGTTGACTTTTAGACTTTTAGTGAGAGGGGAGCAGTAAAAAAATTTCTTTCTTCAAAAATTCTTTTCTAAAGGCTGTTTGAATAAATGATATATCGTTCTATGCACAAGAAAGCGAGCTTTCGAATGAGCTCAAATTCGCAAACGTATAGACATCACTTTCTTGGCAGGACAAAGGAACTATTTCTTCAATCTATTACATTAACTATAAGGATAATGTTAGAATGGTAGACAACAAATTTTTTTTCAAAATGTTCTTTATACAGCAGTATTAGGAAAAATGTAGATTACATCATATTTCCGTACATTTGTATAAAGTCACAGATCCCTCTTTTGGGGAAACAGCCCAGTCAGTCGCGAGGACACATGACGTGTCCAGATGCTGGATAGGGAATATAAACGCATACCAAGTGAAACGCTGTGTTTCTAAGAGGTGCAGGTGGAATCAAAGAATGAACGGTCTTTCTGCAGCGTTGATTCGGCAAAGCTTTATTGAAGAGTCATATTGGCCAAAAGCCTGCACTCAAGCCGCTGGGAAGTAGACATGAGATCCGAATAGAAATCCAAGGATCGCCTTCAACAAGTAAGCTCCCTCTATTCCACCAGGAGAGACTGGAAAGCTACCTTAAGTACTCAATCCCACACGTGAGCAACCTGACAACATTATCAATGTACTCAACGCGACTAAAAAA